TTAAGACGGGCGGAGGCTGCGAGAGGTTGCAGCGCCACCTTGTGGCTCGGATGTGCCGATCCACAAAGTGATATCTGTGTGTGTCAATGTCGTGAAAACGATAAGCCAGTGGGGGGGTGGGGGGTGGGTCTGGTAAACCTGGGGGTGCGCGCCATCTCGTGGGGGTGCGAGATGCCCTTTCTGGGGGGGTGGGAGACATGGACAGATTTTTTATTTAAATATATATTTTTTAGAAGGTAAATCGTCGAAAACACATTATGCATGGGCGCGTAAGTGCAACTTACTTTGTTTCATAAAACCCTACGTGTATTTTATTCATTAACATTATACGTGTTTTTTTTGTTGTTTAACGATTGCGAACCAAATCTGCAGGAAAGGTTACGGAACTGATCGATAATCGACGATATGCACTCGACCGACTGCCGCCTGCTTGATTAAGCAAGCGACTGCATTGTGAATCACCGAGTGAAGTTTAAGGGAACGGTATCAGAAGATGAATTTATATTGGACGAATCCGATGAGCTATGAAGCTCTTTTTTTCAGACGTCCAGTAGGAGCACAGGGTCAGAACGTCACAACAACAAACAATAAAAAAACGATAGGAGTGTAAAGTCTAGGAAAGGTAAATACATCACGACTTAAAAGCTTTCGTGACTGCAGGAATTCATATTCCTCGGGTCTTTCGGTAAAGCCACGTAGATAGAAATATAATAATAAAAAAATAACACGACTCTTCGATCATAACACATTTTTTTCCTGCCTCAGCTGCTCTCTCGCTATATTTTTTCACCTGATGACGATTGCTCGTGTTGCGATCGAAACGTCGTGATATTTTTATTATTTTTCTATCTACGTGTCTTTACCAAAAGACCCAACGAATATGTAAATACATCACTTGAAGAAATTTACAAAGAAAACTAAACTATATATAATCCATCGTTTTTTTGGGTTAGATCGCTTAAATATATAAATGTGTCATTAACCCCCCAGCCAGAAAGCGAGGTTGTGTCACAAACAAAACGTGCTAATTCGTTACTAGTACAGCAACACCGGTGTTGGAGAACAAAACCACAACATTTACAATCCGAGTACGACGTTTCGCCACTAGTCAGTCGACAGCCAAATTTGTGGAGAAATCCTCTCGTTTCGTTCCATCAATATATTTATGCGTTCTAACCTCCACAAAAAAAAACTATATTATGGATATTCGTCACGAAAGCCTATGCGTTCAACTATATATTTTTTTATCTTACCAGGTAAAGCCCACTGAAATATTAGCTTATTTTTCAGAAGCGACCTGGCCACAAATGATAGCTCAACGAAGTGGCTTATCAAGCGCAAATTTACAGCAGCCAAATACTCTAAACGCGTGTTGCTGATTCGAAGTATGGAGGGCAAAACTGTAGGGACCCGGAGGACAATCCACGCGACCGCACGGAGAGACACAAGCAAACCCCAAATACACAGCAGGCGTCTCTGGGTCGGGATCGAACCCACGGCCTCTTGCATACCAGGCGAGGCGGTTAACATCTCCTAGACACCGTGACGGGGCGAGTGAAGTTCACCACGCTATCAGCAACGATAGAGGCAGGGGAGGCGCGACTTGCCCACCGCGCGAGTGGAGTGAATCAGCGAGTGAAGTTCCCAGCAACGTTCACCACGGTAGTAGCAGCGATAGGGAGGCGACTGTTCACCGGGTGAGTGAGCGAGCGCCGGATTCAGCAATCCAGCCGTTTGTTGATCGAGTCAAGTTGACTCAGGGGAGAGTGTGCGAATTCCAACTTTGACAACATTGGGTTTTACTCGCACACCGGCAAGCCATTGGAGCAATGCCAAGTTTGTACACACAAGACGCAAACCGCTCCGTCGATCATTTGCAATCAATCTTTTATTCAAGTATTTTGAAAGATTTGTGTTTTTTCCTCTCTCGCTCGTCTTTTTTTATTTTTTTTAATTTTTTGGGGTATTTAACTGTGCTGCAGGCTTTCGTAATATATTTAAATACGTTAACGATCAGAAACAAATCTAGAAATAAATACGTTTCCCCCACCCCCAACATTTTGAACGAACATTCGTTTCAGAAATTGCACAACACAGAGATATTTTAAATTTAGCTCATCTCTTTCTTTTGGAGGAACTCAAAAAACCTTCCCCACCGCTCCCCGCACCCCCCCACCCCCCCCCCCCCCCCCCTTTGCCTCCATCCGACTTAAACATTTGCTAAATGTGCAACTTGGCAAAACATTTGCCGTTTTCCAAAAAAATAATTACACACATTTTGCAGAAGCCTTAAAAAAAAATAAAAGCATTTATTCCAAAGAAGGCAACTTTCCTTTTGAACCCTTGGGCTATCGTGCAACTACAACGCACACACACAGCTACAGAACGACGTTGAGTACATCTACCTCTCGCCGCCAGTCGGACGCATGCCCCCCCCCAAAAACCCACCGAGAACCACCACCCACTCACCCGGCAAGCAGCACAGCAAGCTGTGTGCGCCGAGTCGTATTTCTATGAAGATGTTCCACTCATCCTCATCCGAACCCCCCCCCCCCCCCACCCGGTGAGTCGGACGCATACGCGACGTTTGTCCTGCAACGGCGGCAACGTCGTTTAAAACAAAAAAATATTTATTTTATTTTCCCTCCAATTTTTCGCCTTTCAAATTTTTTCTTGTAAATAATGGCACCGTCTTTTCCGGTTAACACCATACGAGGGGGGGGGGGGGGGGGGGGGGGGGGGGAGGACGTGCCATAATGCATCTATTCATCTGTGCCTTAAAAAAATAAACTTTACACATCTCCAAAATGCTTGGTCTCAAAAAAAAAAGAAAACCCGTACATTATATATTATTTCTTGGCCATGAGCTGCGCTACTACTCTACAAACCAGAACAAGTTCAAGCTCTTGTTGCGAGAGGAACCGCAGAGCCGTCGTGTAACGAAAAACGCGTTCTCACGAAACACAACACGTGCCATCAATATTGACAATATCATTATTATTGTTAAGCACACCGAGGTCAAGTGCTGCCCGTGCAGGCAGGCAAGTCTGGCACGGGGCATTCGAGGTGTTCGCGGTTGTCTCTAAACTGCATAGGTTAAGTATAGATCCCCCTTGCGGGGGGGGGGGGGGGAACACACACAAGGCAGAAGAGTGGTAAGCAGTCTCCTTATGGCAGGGCAGAGCTAAACCAGCCGGCGAGGGATTATCTAAAAAGATGACCTTCAGGGCGTATAAACGCGCCACGCTTGCAGCACACGTAACTCCACTGCTGGACGAACGCCTCCTGAAAGCCGGGTCCCCCTCTCATGAGGGTTGTTGTATTGACCATACTTCACCAGGCTTGCCGGTCTGGGGTTTGTGAAGGGGAGGTTCGGGAAAGGTGGAGGAGGTGGGTGGGGGGGGGTGTTGGGGGAGAGGCCCAGGACCGGTTGAGATATCGATCGCCACATCGATGTTGGCCGTGGCCGGGATTCGAACGGGAGTCGCCGAATGCGTAGCGGAGCGTGCTAACCACTGCGCCACCCCCCCCCACCCCCCCACCACCGTCACCCACACACACGTAAAAAAAAAAAACCATTCCAAAAACACGAAACTGCTCTGGTCCCCCAGGCCAACAACGGCCGAGCCGTACGCAGCGGCTACTACGTGGTGTCACGTGGAAATGCCAGGTGACTTGGGCGTGCAGAAACTGTCGACAACGCGCAAACGTCAAGACGAAAAAAGTGAACCCGTGGCTGCAAAAAAACCCGCAACGGGCGACGGACAGCGCCCCGGCGACAACAGCGGACCAACCATCGGCCCGTGGCGAATTTTCGCTGCGAATCCCGGGGCCGGCGGGCGGAGCCGTAGTAGCAGCGGCCGTCGCTTGTGGTCGGAAACACCGCGGCTCCCCCGTGTGGAGAGTTGCAGCAAGCGGACGGGTTGGTTGGGGAGAGGGGCCCGAGAGCGATCGTGGCCCACGAGGGGCATTAACAAACTTAAAGATGAAATTTTAGCTTAAACGAGGAAAAAAAAAAAAAACCACGAACACATTCGAATTTAGCCGACCGCAATTGTCGCGGGAGGCGATCGTTGACCGACGCCGTGCTTTCACATGCTCGGCGGCGGCGGCGGTCAACCTTAACCCCGAACCCGACCTCTTGCGTTCTCGGCTGGCGTCGTTTGGTAAAAAAAAGAAACAAGCGGGCCGCCAACCGCGGCATCACGGGGCAGCGTTGGGTTGGGGGGGGGGGGTGGGTTTACCGTCGTACGTTTACAAAACTGCGCTAGGGACAATAAAAAAAACATTCTCATTGATTCGATAAAGCCCGATTTGAATCATCGGGCAGTGACGACTCCAACAACCGATAAGGCGACGTGTGAGATATTACAAAAAAAAAAACAAACTTAAATCCCGCCCCGTGAATGGAAAAAAAAAAAATCGATCGGTTGCATCACATGGCCACCGACACGACCCGCTGCGGCTGCCCCCCTATAGCCGTGCCACGGTGCAGGCCGAAGCCTGGCGGTGGAATGGTGGCGATGATGGCGGCACGGTTGGGACCTCTCCTAATCTTGCTGTCAGAGGGCGACGTCGCGTTGGCGATGAAAGAAGGGCCCAGGAAGTGGCCCGAGTGTGGCGACATCGTCGTCGGTGCTGCCACCCTGGCCGGCAAGGTGCCGGAAGTCGCAGCAGCAGCAGCAGCAGCGCCGCCGGCCCCCGCCACCCTGGCTCCAGCCCTCATGACGGTGGGCGGACGCCTCCGCCGCGCCGGGTAGGACGAAGGGTGCGCGGGGGGCCACATGTAGAGCGGGTGGTACACCAGTTCGGCGACCTGGGCGCGGACAGAGAGGACAGAGGACAGAGAGGACAGAGAGGACAGAGAGGACAGAGAGGACAGAGAGGACAGAGAGGACAGAGAGTACAGAGAGGACAGAGAGGACAGAGAGGACAGAGAGGGAGCCGTCAGCGGTGGGGATTGACGGACTGACCGATCAGAGGAGATGCAACGCGACGGGATGGAGGGGAGGTGATGAAGGGCGGACGTCGGCAACCGAGCGAGCGAACGAGCAACTTGACGAGCGGGTGTGGTCGGGCGCGAGAGCGAATGAGCGAGCGGCGTGGCGCGAGCGGGTTGAGAGCGAGCGGGTTGAGATGCGAGCGGGTGAGAGCGAGCGGGTTGAGAGCGAGCGGGTTGAGAGCGAGCGGGTTGAGAGCGAGCGGGTGAGAGCGAGCGGGTTGAGAGCGAGCGGGTTGAGAAGCGAGCGGGTTGAGAGCGAGCGGGTTGAGAGCGAGCGGGTTGAGAGCGAGCGGGTTGAGAGCGAGCGGGGTTGAGAGCGAGCGGGGTTGAGAGCGAGCGGGTTGAGAGCGAGCGGGGTTGAGAGCGAGCCGGGTTGAGAGCGATGCGGGGGGTTGAGAGCGAGCGGGTTGAGGAGCGAGCGGGTTGAGAGCGAGCGGGTTGAGAGCGAGCGGGTTGAGAGCGAGCGGGTTGAGAGCGAGCGGGTTGAGAGCGAGCGGGTTGAGAGCGAGCGGGTTGAGAGCGAGCGGGTTGAGAGCGAGCGGGTGAGAGCGAGCGGGTTGAGAGCGAGCGGGTTGAGAGCGAGCGGGTTGAGAGCGAGCGGGTTGAGAGCGAGCGGGTTGAGAGCGAGCGGGTTGAGAGCGAGCGGGTTGAGAGCGAGCGGGTTGAGAGCGAGCGGGTTGAGAGCGAGCGGGTTGAGAGCGAGCGGGTGAGGGGTTGAGAGCGAGCGGGTTGAGAGCGAGGCGGGTTGAGAGCGAGCGGTTTGAGAGCGAGCGGGTTGAGAGCGAGCGGGGTTGAGAGCGAGCGGGTTGAGAGCGAGCGGGTTGAGAGCGAGCGGGTTGAGAGCGAGCCGGGTTGAGAGCGAGCGGGTTGAGAGCGAGCGGGTTGAGAGCGAGCGGGTTGAGAGCGAGCGGGTTGAGAGCGAGCGGGTTGAGAGCGAGCGGGTTGAGAGCGAGCGGGTTGAGAGCGAGCGGGGTTGAGAGCGAGCGGGTTGAGAGCGAGCGGTTGAGAGCGAGCGGGTTGAGAGCGAGCGGGTTGAGAGCGAGCGGGGTTGAGAGCGAGCGGGTTGAGAGCGAGCGGGTTGAGAGCGAGCGGGGTTGAGAGCGAGCGGGTTGAGAGCGAGCGGGTTGAGAGCGAGCGGGTTGAGAGCGGCGGCGGGTTGAGAGCGAGCGGGTTTGAGAGCGAGCGCCGTGCCGCGTGGGCCGTGACCGCGCCCTCACCTGGTAGTGCGCCGCCACCGTTGCCGCGGGGTGCTGGAAATGAACCGAAGTCGGCGCGAGGGCAGCGACGCCGTGCGGGGCGGCCGCGGCGAGCGTCACCGGCGCGGCGTACCTCGCCGCGGCGCCGCCGCCGCCGCTCGCCGCCGTCGCCGGCCACGGCCGCCGCGACGGCCCCGCCGCGGCGGGCCCCCCTCCCCTCCTCCTCCTCGTCCGACGACGGCGTGGACGACGACGTCGACGACGACGACGACGACGACGACGACGGCGGCGGCCAGAGCGAGGAGATGGCCGAGTCGGTGCGGAGGGCCTCGTCCTCCCGCTCGTCGCCGTGGCCCAGGGCGGCCATCGCTCGCGCCGCGTCGTCGCGGTCGGCCGCCGTGTCGAAGCGCGCCACCGTGAAGGCGTGGTTCTTCTCCCCGTACCTGCGCAAGGCGGAGGAGGGGGGGGGGGGAGACGAGACGACGCATTGGGGAGGGATCTGGCGGCACGCGAGCGGAGCGGTCAAAAATGCTACGGCGGTGCTCCCGCCCCCCCACCACCCCCCCCCCCCCACCACCCCCCCCCCCCCACCACCCCCGCCCCCCACCACCCCCCACCCCCACCCCCCACCACACACAGACACGTTGCTCTCAAGTTACGCTCTACCAGCGAACCGGGAAACGTCGAGTGGGGAGCATTAAAAGCCGTCGTTGTTGTTGTTGTTGTTCTCGTGCGTACTTGGTGCCCGCGTGTTGTTGTTGTTGCTGCTGCGCGTGGGGGGGGTGAGAGGAGAACGACGAGAGGGAGGAGGAGGGGGGGGGGGGCGATGGGAGTCACGAGAAGGGGGTATGGGGGAGTCCCTAGGAGGTGTCGTTAGGCTGACGCAAGAGCGACGGGCTGCGGTGCAACAGCGGCTGCACCCCGCAACCACGTCTCGTCGGGTGTGTGTTTGTATCGGGCAAGGGTTGTGAGCGGGCGCCACTTAAGGCCGCTGTGAGATGGATGCAAGTGTGAAAGGTGGGGGTGGGTGGAGCATTGTGTACACGTGCGTTCGCACATCACCGCAGACTCGCAGATAGAAACGAAGACAAAGACCGGCCGTGTAGCCTTCACGGACTGCTGGGGCAAGTGCACTTATTTTGACCGGCAAGGCGCACCAAGGGGTGGGTGGCCAGCACCACGCCCGGCCGCCTTTGTCTCCCTAGTGGCGATGTTTACACACCGCACCACGTACTAATTTGAGGCCGAGTCGACCTAGGGGAGGCCCAGCAAGGGTATGGGTGTGGCCACAACCACACCAGGCCATGACCGATGTTCAAAGATCGTACCAGATACTGTACAGTATTAAATTAAGGCCGAGTCAACCTAGAGGATGCACCAGAACAAGCGCAGATAGACCACGCCATTCATGTCAAGTCATGCACTTGACCGATTGCAGGGCATTGAGGAAACTATTAAGAGCACACTATTACCATAAACCACGTACACACATACACGCCAACAACTGCCAGTTCGCCACTAAATGGCGGTGACATCGCCACGGCGCTCGTGCCAGGCTAGGTGCACTCCCGAGGCCATGCGCAATGTCTAAGGTTCGGTCGTAGCAAGTCATGGGACAGACCCGGGTGCCACGGGTTGAACGAGATACACGCTCGCATAAAAAAAAAGACAAAGTTCTCCCGTAAAGCCATGACAGTCTGTAGGAGCAAGTGCTGTTCGGGAGCACCGATGAAGGCCGCCAAGGCGCGCGAGGGGGGTGGTGGGTAGCCAGCACCACGCCCTGCCGATGTTTACACACCGCAGCAGGAATGTGTGTACCTTGAACTTCTTTCGCACCATACGAAGCCAAAACGCGCTAAATCAGAGGTGTGGAGGGGGGGGGGAAGGAAAACAAACTAAAACTCGACCTAGCGGACACCAAGGATCACTTCAGATCCAAGTCACCGGCGTTGGCCGCGAGCGGGAATCGAACTCGGGTCGCCGGGTTCCGTCGTGCGACGCAAGGCCAACACGTACGCCGACATTTAGCCCAGTTCAATTCAGCCGCCAGGATGTAAGTAAGGGTGGTGTGACGGAACACCACAAGCAGGTAACGTTCGTCTCCCCAGGGCTGATGTTTACACACCGTACCAGATGCGGGGGGGGGGGGGGTGTTGGAGGAGACACAGGGCGAGAGTTCGGGTATCGCCGGCTACCGATGTTGGCCGCGTCTGGGAATCGAACGCGGATGCCGGGTTTCCCCGACCGTAAAAACACACGCGCAACGTACACTAACACACACACGCTCGCGGAAGCACAGAAACACACGACGCATGAAGACCCCCGTATATAGCCTTTAGCGCGGACTGTTAGGCTTAATGAGGCCGGCACGGCACACGAGGGGGTGGGTGGCCAGCACCACACCCGGCCGCCGCCTTTGTCTCCCCAGTCTACACAACCGCACCGCTCACCACCTCCTTTGAGGCCGAGTTGACCTAGACACACGAACACTTACACTTACACACACACGTGTTTTCGACCAATTCAACAGAAGCACTCGAACCGTGAGCACCGCCACGTCCCCCCCCCCCTCCCCCGCCGCCACGCAACTCCTCGGCAATGCGGCGGCGGCGGCGGTGACTCACGTCGGGTCGCTCGACTTCCCGTACCTCGCTCGCTCGTCGCTCTCCAGCTTCCCGGGTTTTCGGAACAGGCCTGAGTCATCCCCACGGAGGCCTCGGTGGCTCGCTAACCTCGCCCCCACCCACTCCCACACGCGTCCAAAGACAAATATCCCCCCCCCCCCCCCCCCCCCCCGTGTAGCCTCAACAGAGTGTTGGGGCGAGCAGCGCCTTTGAAGGCCGGCGCGGGCACACGAGGGGGTGGGTGGCCACAGCAGCCCCGCCCCCGGCCGCCTTTGTCTCCCCGAGCGGCGATGTTTACACACCGCACCAGGTACTTATTTGAGGGCCGAGTCGACCTAGCGGGAGGCCTAGGACCACTGCAGAAAATCGCCCACCTGGTGTTGGTGGCTGTGAGCAGGAATCGCACCCGGGTCGCCGGGGGTTCGTAAGCACACAAAGGCGAAAGATCCCCCCCCCCCCCCCATCGCAAGTGCTGTTAGCGAACGCCTGAGCACACAAAGGCAAATATCCCCGTATAGATTTTAACAGACTGTCCCGGGGCAAGTGCTGTGAGGGTGTAGCCCCTATGAAAGCCGACACTGTACACGAGGGGGTGTTTGGTGGTCAGCACCACGCGCCCGGCACACAAAACACCTATCCACAGACAGACAAAGATCCCCCCCGTGTAGCCTTAACAGACCCTTGGGGCAAGTGCTGTTAGCGAGCACCTATGAAGGCCGGCACGGCACACGAGGGGGTTGGTGGCCAGCACCACGACCGGCCGCCTGTCCCCTTAGTGACGATGTTTACACATCGCACCCGATACTCATTTGAGGCCGAGTCGATCGAGGGGAGGCCCAGAATCAGTCAGATAATCGTCAGTGGTGTTGGCCATGAGGGGTAATTGAACTCGGGTTGCCGGGTTCGTAGCGCAGCGCTCCCCACAAAACAAAGATCCCCCATATAGCCTTAACAGACCGTAGGGGCAAGTGCTGTTAGCGAGCACCTATGAAGGCCGGAACGGTACATGAGGGGGTGGGTGGCCAGCACCACGCCCCGACCGCCTTTGTTTCCCTAGTAACAAGGTTTACACACCGCACCACATACTCATTTGAGGCCGAGTCGACCTACGGGAGGGCCCAGGATCGGTCGAGATAATTCGTCGCTGGCGTCGGCCGTGAGCGGGAATCGAACTGGAGCCGCCGGGTTCGTAGCGCAGCGCTAAAAACCGCCACACCACCGCTCCCCGGACAGGCACGCACAGGCACGAGATCTGCACCAGCTGGACCACCCGCCAGGCGCCGGGGGGGGGACTCTCTCACCTGCCAGCACACCTCACAGGGGTCCACCCACAGCGTGAGCTCCCGCGGCAGGCACAGGTCAACGAGGCGCAGACCGCTTGTCCCGGCAGGCCGCCACCAGCACCGGGTCGGCCCTCTGCGTCGCGTTCACGCGGATGCACCTTGCGCAAAGCACAACGGCAAACTGTTAAAACTCGAAGAACTCAACTTTGCATTTGTCGCCAGGTAAGGTGGCCCGCCGAGCCTTTTTCAGAAGCGACCTGCGCACCACAAATGATAGCTCGAGGAAAGTTGGCTTATTATCGCGTGGAAATGTAAAGCATCAGTCAGACACTTTATCTGTTAAACTCCACAGGGTGCACACAGCACGGATGAAGGCCTCCTTCATCCATTGGCCCGTATAGCTCGCACAGATGATTTCAGCCTCACACAGATGATTCAGAATACTTCACATCGTCGCGGGTAGAGGGTGGTGGTCCTTTAGTTATTTAATTTTACACGCTTTAATTTAACTCACTGTCTGTTGTTGTATCCTCAAATCTTGTAACTCAATTTTAACCCACTTCCCAATGTGGTATCGACCTGCAAACTTGGTATACTTATGTCATACTGATGACAATATTATATTCTATCATAAAAAATATATATATTTTTTTAAACATTATTTTTATATGTTAGGTTTCGGCTTGGGTCTAATTGTCCATGCTCAACTGACGTTGGCTGTAATTGGCCACGGGCCCCTTACGTTGTGACAAGCTTCGGGGCCACTTCTTGGAGTCGTGGAGTTATTCCATTAGTAGCACATTTCAAAAAAGCGTGTTTTTAAAAAAGTTTTTTTTTAATATTACTTATTTACTACCAGGTAAGGCACCATGAGCCTACATAGTGCTCTTCTTTTAGAAGAGACCCAGCTATCACAAACGATAGCTAAACGAGGCGGCGGCTTATTAGCGCGTGGAAATGAATAGCAGCCAAATAGTCTGAACGCACGCCCGATTCTAAATGTTGGAGGAGAACCGGAGAAAAATCTACACGACCACGGGGAGAACACGCAAACTCGAAATATACAGCAGGCGTTAGGATCGGGATCAAAACCACGACCTCCTGTATACCAGGCGAGGTAGTTAACATCTCGACAACACAGACTGTTAGGGCAAGTGCTGTTTGGCGAGTCGCAGCACCGACGAAAATCCGGGCAGCGTCGCACGAGGGGGTGTGGGTGGGCAGCACCACGCTCGGTCGCCTTTGTCTCCCCAGTGGTGACGTTTATTACACACTGCACAAGGCACTCATTTGAGGCCGAGTCGACCTAGGGGAATGGCCCACGACCGGTTCAGATAACCGGCACTTGGTTGTTAGCCGTCAGTGGGAATAAAAGTGGCGTACAAATGTACACACACACACGTGCACATGCGTACAAGATACGAGGAAATGGCGCATGTGACGAGCAAGCGGGGGGCAGGCGGAGGAGGAAGTCCGAGCAACTGATGCAACAACGGACCTTTGAACACGATGCAAGTCTATGGGTCTGTACAGTGAGGGAAAAAAGTATTTGATCCTCTGCTGATTTTGTACGTTTGCCCCACTGACTAAGAAATGATCAGTCTATAATTTTAATGGTAGGTTTATTTGAACAGTGAGAGAGAATGACAACAAAAAATCCAGAAAAACGCATGTCAAAAATTGATTTGCATTTTAATGAAGGAAATAAGTATCTTGACCCCCTCTCAATGAGAACATTTCTTGCTCCAGGTGTCTTTTATACAGGTAACGAGCTGAGATTAGGAGCAACACTCTTAAAGGGAGTGCTCCTAATCTCAGCTCATTACCTGTATAAAAGACACCTGTCCACAGAAGCAATCAATCAATCAGATTCCAAACTCTCCACCATGGCCAAGACCAAAGAGCTGTCCAAGGATGTCAGGGACAAGATTGTAGACCTACACAAGGCTGGAATGGGCTACAAGACCATTGGCAAGCAGCTTGGTGAGAAGGTGACAACAGTTGGTGCGATTATTACGCAAATGGAAGAAACACAAAAGAACTGTCAATCTCCCTCAGCCTGGGGCTCCATGCAAGATCTCACTTCGTGGAGTTGCAATGATCATGAGAACGGTGAGGAATCAGCCCAGAATTACACGGGAGGATCTTGTCAATGATCTCAAGGCAGCTGGGACCATAGTCACCAAGAAAACAATTGGTAACACACTACGCCATGAAGGACTGAAATCCTGCAGCGCCCGTAGGTCCCCCTGCTCACAGAAAGCACATATACATGCCCGTCTGAAGTTTGCCAATGAACATCTGAATGATTCAGAGGACAACTGGGTGAAAGTGTTGTGGTCAGATGAGACCAAAATGGAGCTCTTTGGCATCAACTCAACTCGCCGTGTTTGGAGGAGGAGCAATGCTGCCTTATGACCCCAAGAACACCATCCCCACCATCAAACATGGAGGTGGAAACATTATGCTTTGGGGGTGTTTTTCTGCTAAGGGGACAGGACAACTTCACCGCATCAAAGGGACGATGGACGGGGCCATGTACCGTCAAATCTTGGGTGAGAACCTCCTTCCCTCAGCCAGGGCATTGAAAATGGGTCGTGGATGGATATTCCAGCATGACAATGACCCAAAACACACGGCCAAAGGCAACAAAGAAGTGGCTCAAGAAGAAGCACATTAAGGTCCTGGAGTGGCCTAGCCGGTCTCCAGACCTTAATCCCATAGAAAATCTGTGGAGGGAGCTGAAGGTTCGAGTTGCCAAACGTCAGCTTCGAAACATTAATGACTTGGAGAAGATCTGTGAAGAGTGGGACAAAATCCCTCCTGAGATGTGTGTAAACCTGGTGGCCAACTACAAG